CCATCCACCCCACCCCTAGGCCTTCCCCATACCAATGTCTGTGTCATGGGTTATGCACATAAGCGTGTAAGTTCTTTGATTAATCCCCCCCACTAAGTTTTTTGTTTGTTTGTTTGTTTTGCTAAATCCCTTTATCTTTTTCACCCAGCCCTGCAACCCCCCTCCACTCTGACCAGCTGTCTGTCTGTTCTCTATCTATGAGCCTGTTTCTGTTTTGTTTGTTAGCATATTTTGTTCATTAGATTCCACATGTGAGTACATATGGTACTTCTCTTTCTCTGACTGGCTTATGTCACTTAGCGTAATGCTCTCCTGGTCCATCCATGCTGCTGCAAAGGCTAAGATTTCCTTTTTCTTTTTTTTACGGCCGAGTAGTATTCCATTGTGTAAATGTACCACAGCTGTATTATCCACTGATGGGCACTTGGGCTGCTTCCAGATCTTGGCTGTTGTAAGCAATGCTGCTATGAACATAGGGGTGCAGATATTCTTTCGAATTATTGTTTCAGATTTCTTTGGATACATTCCCAGAAGTGGAATCACTGGGTCATAAGGCAGCTCCATTTTTAATTTTTTGAAGCAACTCCATACTGCTTTCCACATTGGCTGCCCCAGTCTGCATTCCCACCAGCAGTGCACGAGGGGTTTCTATCTTCCACATCCTCGCCAACCGTTGTTGTTTGTTGTTTGTTGATTTGTTGATGGAGCCATTTTGACAGGTGTGAGGTGATACCTCATTGTGGTTTTAATGTGCATCTTTCTGGCGATTAGTGACAAACATCTTTTCATATGTCTATTGGCCATCTGTATGTTCTCCTTGGAGAAGTGTTTCTTCAGGTCCTTTGCCCATTTTTTAAATTGGATTGTTTTTTGGTGTTTTGTTCTATAAGTTCTTTATAAATTTTGGATATTAGCCTCTTATCAGATGTATCATTGGCGAATATGTTTTCCTGTTCAGTGGGTTGTCTTTTCATTTTGTTGATGGTTTTCTTTGCTGTGCAAAAACTTTTTAGTTTGATGTAGTCCCATTTGTTTATTTTTTCTTTTGTTTTCCTTGCCCAAAGTCATATATTAGAAAAAAATATTGCTATGAGAAATGTCTGAGACTTTAGTGTCTATGTTTTCTTCTAGGATTTTTATGGTTTTGACTCTAACAGTTAAGTCTTTAATCCATTTTGAGTTTGTTCTTGTGTATAGTGTAAGAAGGTGGTGTAGTTTTATCTTTTTACATCTATCTGTCCAGTTTTCCCAGTACCATTTATTGAATAGACTACATTTACCCCATTGTATATTTGTCTCCTTTGTCAAATATTAATTGACCATAAAGGTGTGGGTTTATTGCTGGGTTCTCCATTCTGTTCCATTGATCTATGTGTCTGTTTTTATGCCAGTACCATGTGCTATTTTGATTACTGTGGCCTTGTAGTATAGTTTGATATCAGGTAGCATGATTCCTGTAACTTTGTTCTTATTTCTTGAGATTGCTGTGGCCATTCCGGGTCTTTTGTGGTTCCATATACATTTTTGGAAAAGTCTTCAAATAATTTTCACAGGTCTGAATTACAGGAAGGTAGTTTTAATTCTTTAGGAACATTTTATTTTCGTACTCTTTTATATCATGTATCTTTTTTCTGAATATCTGCTTATTTTGTCTACTCTAAGTACTGGCTGTATTTATGTAATTTTATATAACATTAGACTATGTAAGATCAAAAGCAATTTTAACATTGAACCACAACTAGTAAAAGGAATCAAAATATGCATGGACAATGTAATACTAGTATAATGTGACATATATAAGACAACTTAAACAGGAATTTCTATGTAATGAATACATAAAGCACATTAACTGAAATATAAATCTAATAAAAAAACACTGTGACTGAGAAAATAAGCACCTAATTCTTTAAAAACATTTATTAAGACCTTTTTGCTAATCATTCTGCTAGTATATGGGAATACAGTTGTCACATTTTAAAATCTAATATTAAATAAATATCTAATTATTGTTTATTTCGTATGCTTTTTTTGGAATCTAGAGGGGCTTTTATGAGATTATTTAAAATCATCTCAAGAAGGAGTTTTAGGAAGTTTTAATTTTCTTTAATAAATTTCATTTGATCTTACAGTTTTGTTGAAAGTGATTGCACTTTTCAAAACTTGCCATTACAGCATGTATATATTTGAATCCATTGCCAAGAATTTCACTTTAAATGAAATGTAGGGGATATATTAGATCAAGACCTTGGCTGACTTTTTCTTTTTTTTAAATCATTTTTTTAAAAATATGTTTTTATTGATTTCAGAGAGAGGAAAGGAGAGGGAGAGAGAGAGATAGAAACATCAATGATGAGAGAGTCATTGATTGAGCCTGCAACCCGGGCATGTGCCCTGACCAGGAATCAAACCCTGATTGCCTGGATCCTAGGCCAACGCTCAACTACTGAGCTACACCCGGCCGAGCTGACTTTTTCTTTAATATAAAAATATTAAGACAGCCCTGCCCAATGTAGCTTAGTTGGTTGGAATGTCGTCCAGTACACTGAAGGGTTGCAGGTTCGATTTCCAGTCTGGGCACATACCTGCGTTGCAGGTTTGGCCCCCAGTTGGGGCACGTATGAGAGGCAACCGGTTGATGTTTCTCTCTCTCTCCTCTTTCCTCTCTGTAAAATCAATGAACATGTCTTCCCATGAGGATTGAAAAAAAAAAAAGGCAAAGGCAGACTTTGAGGCACACAGTGTAGTCTGAACATTATGGGTGCTTATGAGGCAACATTATACTGGATATTTTTATAGGTGTTACTGGATAAAAC